CAGGAAGCAGGTTTTCTTTGGGCTAAAAATTTGCTAAAATTATGTTTAAAAGAAAGACTTTGACATGAAAAATTCAGTATCAAACTAAACATTTAGTGCAAGTTACAGTTAGAGCTCAAGTAACTGATAGTAACTTAAGGGTGTATCACTATCATTATTAACATGTACACGATTTTTTAAGGTGGTCAGTTATGCACAAAGAATGTCATATATGTAATTTAGTGTTAATAAACTAAAACCACCGCGTAAGTCTGAGCAGAAAGGCAGGTTTGAATACAAAATTAATAACTGAGTATATTGGTCAAATTTATTCCCCTTGATAAATCACATACAAACATGTTTAGTGCCTCAATTCTATGTTTCACATTAGGCTTTTTCCTCTGTTGTAAAGAGACCACTCAGTGCTAGTGCTATTTGTAACATAACAGATTTCAGAACAAACAGCTTAGTCTCTTGCGTAGTAATCTTAATACATTAAGATTTTTCAATTAAAGTCTTCATTTTTCCTGTAGACTTCAGCATGTGCGGTCCAAACTGAGAAGGAAACCAGAAACAAGTTCAGATACTGCTTTCAGCAGAAACCTAGTTGAACTATTATCCATCCAGGTTGTAAGTAAAACTAGAACTTGGGGAGAGGTAATTTCCTTTATCCATCGGATGTGGATTTCACCCACTTCATAGCCATGAAGTAAAGGGAAACTTGTGTCAGCAATCAGCTGAAATAGCTCAGGTGAGGCAGCTCCAGCTAACCATCTGCTGGAGCAGCTCTCACTAGAAATAGTTCACTCTCCCACAGCAAAATAAGAAGATAGATGCAGTTACCTTTAGAAGTTTACAACCAACTGCTCTAGCGGCAGTCTCTGTTCTTTCTCTTATCCTGCATTTTTGTGCAAGTCCTCTTAAAAACTATCATACAAGGACTGATCTAGCAAAGTAACCGGTAAGTTACTGATGACAGATGTTTATTAGCTCCTTATGGATCAACATTCTATCATTTCACGAAGTAAAACCTTCAATTTTCTTAGCTTTTAAGGGCTTGATGATCCTTAAATCTCCAAAGATGGACTGTAAATTTCAAACTTGGAAAGTCACGAAACCCATGTATGAATAAAACATTGCCAACTCACATTGTTTTCCTGAAAGCCCCAGAGATGCTGGGGAAAAAAAAAAAGTGACTGATTCTTAGGGAATATCTAGCCTTTCAGTGAAGAACAACAGCCTGAACATTACAGGAGTATACCATAAAGGCCCAAATCTGAAGGCAAGTCAGTCAACATTATATTCTGAAGTTCTGAGGTTTGTGGCTTGGGAATCTTATTTTCCTCAGAACTGAACTGAGAGTGCAGTCAGCTTTCGGAGCTTTATGTGCATTTTTTCCAAACCCACAAAGGGAAAAATAACTCTGTACTCTTCCTCTCTGGTTCTCGAGCAACAAGGCTTCAAGGGTTGCTTACTGACAAACTGATCTATACAGACCTGTTTGGTAAGTAAGTGTATATTGCTAGGAACTTGCATCTTGAACATTCACTGCTTAAAAACCCCTTACACTTCAATTTCAAATCAATCTGAAATAAACAAAGCCATTACCTTGCACCATGACATGGATTTTAAATACAATTTCATTTTAACATTCTCACAATATAAAGAAACCGCTTGTATTTACTCAACATTTCCAACTAGAAGAAACCCCTTATACGAAGATCCAGCAGGCGTTCTGAACAACTTGCTTTCTGCATTCTTAGGAATGGCTGACATGTTTCAGGATCTTGCTTCGAATTTTCTCATGCGCTATCGGAATGGTTAAGGTTGGCAATAACAGGCAAACTCAGTTGAGATTTGGTTCTGGTGTGAGCCCTTAGGAATTGAGTTTTCAGAATACCATGCTCGTGGCAACAGAAAAGATTTTTGTTTAAAAAAACTAAAAGAACTGTAACAGGGCTTTTTAAACCTAGGTCCAAAAGAGTACACAATCTTAAGACCTGATACTAAAAACATGTGATTACCACAAATCCTAGCATATCAGCAGTACTTCATAGGGTTTTGTGGTCAGGGATGCTAACTTGTAGGTATTTACAGATGTTGGCCCGAAGACATACGTTGCCTTTCATGACAACTACAATTTAGTCCAGGCATGTGTTCAGAATCACAATACTCACCAGCACTACCTCAGTCTTTGTGTTTGTTTCAGTCTTTGGAATCACTTTTTGTGTTTCACTTTGGCTGTCATTTTGGTATCTATAAGCAAATTTCTTTTTGAGCGCTTCTGCTATTAAAGCTGCAGGATCTGTAGGGTCAGACACTTTAGATTTTGTACCTTCTGATGATCTAAAAAGAAAATGAGAAGCATTAACATAGACCAAAACAAAGCTTCAGAAGTTGTGAATGCTTTTGCATTCTGTTTGTCAGATGTTTCATCAGGATCTGCCTCACCTTGAAATAGTTCTGAGTCATAAAAACAAATCATTAAGGCAAATGTTAACACACTGATATTTATTTATTACCTTTTCACTGAGCGTAGTTTCACACTGTTCATGTCTTTGAGGATTTCTAGCATGCTTGGTATTTCAGACTTCTCTGGCCCATTTTCAGTCAGATTCTGTCCAGAGTTTGTTTTTTTGTTTTTCCTTTCTTTAATGAGCTCAATTGCAGACATACTCTGTGGTAGACCTGGGGGAGGGAGTGGTGGTGGAGGAGGAGGTGGTGGCAATACAACAGGGACAGCAGCTGAAGCAACCGGACTTGACCTAACTACAAATAAAAACATACATTACGCATCAGTTCAGCTGTTAATCCCCTTTACATCATCAGCATTTACAGCATCACAAACACTTGGGTAAGAATATCACTGTAATAGCTTAATAGTTTCAATTGCCTCCCTTTGCCTTCTTTAGATTATCACAATTCTTCATTCCTAAATCACTGAAGTAGACTCAACTGAAATGCCACATAAAAATCCTTCTCAAAGAGTGAGAAGTGTTCTTTGAATTGCCAGCTCAAATTCTAGGTGCATTCATGTCTCTGCTGCAATGGGATGCACATCATGATGTCTTTTTGTTCTGTTCTGCTCCTACTGTTACCAGTATTTCACTTTCTTCCGAGAGGCAGGTACTGAGCTGGAAGTCACCTACAATCTGCCATGTGATCAGTGTTTCTTTCTACTCATCATCCCAAATAAGAAATTACCATACAAGAATTCTGAATGTAACTTTCACAGCTCAAATAATGCTTAAATTGAAGTTTATTCCAGCTTTATGAGGTTAAGGACTTTTAGGCCAGCAAATCACGTCAGAAGACAGACATTCTCGTGATAATCTTGATTTTGAGTTCCCCGTACTCTTTAGGTAAAAATTGATGTTATAAATACAATAGCAGTAATAACTTGACAAATAAATGAAGAAACCTCTGCTCAAATGCACCTTTAAAGAAATCAGCAAAACCAGATCAAACCAGAGTTTTGAAGTTCGGAGTATGAAGTGTGTAAAGGTACATATATAGATAATAGAGGAGCCTACTCTGTACACGTGTAGATGTACACACAGTGTCATTACCATATTCTACCAGAAGAGGGAGGTAAAGATAAAATTTAATTTTCATAATAAATAGAGGTAAAGGGAAAACGATGAAAAATAAGTTATTAGTTATTTCACAAACCCCCCCCAATAATTGCAATTCCAGAGTGAAACCATGTGATCTTTAAAACTTTCATAGTTTTGAGTACAAACAGTTAAGGAAAAATAAAGTAATGGTTATCCGTTCACAGCCAAAAACTAAACAAGAGCATCTGAAGAATCAAATAAGATTTTATACATAAAATTAGGCAAAACTGTACTTGCTAAGTGACCTTAGGAAAGAGGGAAAACGGAATGGCTGTAGTCTGTAGTCAACAAAAGCCATCTCCCACTCATCTTTGGAGATGGTAGACTTAGAACTAGAAGGCAGGCAGAGGTGAGGAAAAGAGGAGAAAGAAACTCAGGAAAAGTATAGTTCTGTTTACTACCAGAAAGGCTGCACCACTTTTGGTTCTATCTGGACAATGTGTCTGATCCCAGAGATGATTCCAGTAAACAATCTCCTTTTCTGTTATTTATTTCATAACCTTGAAATGTGCATTACATATTCCAAAAGCATAACTGGCATCTTGTATGATTACTTCATGATATCAAAAAGCCTATTTCATTACTGGATGGGAAGACTTAAGTGTTAGTAATTAAGTTACGTTCTTTTAGTTTGGTTTAAGTCACCATGTTTATCATGAGCTTTGGTCTGAAAGCTGTTTAATACTTCTTTAGTCATCCACAGATTCAGAATTCTGGCAGACTGTCACACAAACATAAAGACTTTTAGAATACTAGAAAATACAGAAAATCTGGCAGGTCTCATCTCTTTAAGACCTATTCTGTATCCATCAGCTAGTATGCCACGTCTGTCTACCAAGTGAACCAAAACGATATGGAGAAGTGTTCATGTTGCAGTATCTCACAAAAATGAATTATCACATTATTTTTGCTAAGAGTACAGCAAATTTAATACCTGCTGTCAGGCTCTGTTCTTGCAAGATTACAATTTTGGCTATTTGTGCTCTTAAAGTGGCTAGTTCATTTTCTAGAGCACTGATCTTTTGCAGAGCTTCTTCATTTGCATTCACTGTGCTCCTGGAAACTGGTTCTTCTTCCAATGGGTTTAAGGACGTTTGTCTGCATGGGGACTTTCCAGAATGATGTAGTACACCTACAAGAGGCTGGGGTGATTTTGACCAAACTTCTGACCTGTAACAAAAATATCACAAGATTCCTTTTTTCAAGGCTTTGTAACAGATAAAAACTAAAGCAACGTTATATGCAAGCCAGGAATACAAGTTGAAGGCCTGACTTCAAAATTGTCTTCACAGAAATTGCTTCCACCAAGACATTATATAGCTTAAAGTAACTAAAAGAGTTTCACATCCTTTCTGTTTACATCACTAGGTGTATTTCTTCATTCCCCCTAGCAAGCTTTTTGTGGAAGCCTTGATTTCAGGAGAAAAAAAGGAATACATTCCCCCTCACCTCCAACCTATTTCTCTGCCTCACACCTATTGTATTTTTTTGTTGGCATTGAGATTTAATTTTTAATTTTTGCCCAAATGCTACCATTTTTTTCCCCCATAGGCTGCAAATAGTCACTTGTAGCTGATTCCTTTGAAGAAGAAAGAAGAGTTTCTTAGTTCCACGGAATGTTTTTGTACTTTTTGGACTTCTGAAGGGACAGTCCTCCAGTTTAGCAGTGTTGGGAGTATGGAGTACATGAAACAGCTTAGTGACACAGAAGCTGCTTATCAGTAAAGGGGAAAGGGTGTTGTATCTAGTTTTCTAACACAATAAATAAAACTATAATGAAGAAAACTTCATGCAGTTTCAAAATGTCCATAAGCTTCCCTCCTCTTTCTCACAAGAGCAAGAAAATGCAACTCTATTGCCTCCTTTTCCTACATTCTGAAGCTCAGGCTATGTTAAACACTGAGACATTACTGAGCATCTGTGGTCAACTAAGCACTTACAAAAGGTTATATTCACTGAAGACCCTAACATTTTTAAACAGTTTATCTCGAGTATCTGAGCAATCTGATCTAGCTGAAGATGTCGCTGCTCATTGTAGGGATGGGGGGTTGGACTAGATGACCTTTACAGGTCCCTTCCAACCCAAACCAGTCTATGATTCTGTAAGTAGAGCTGATAAGGGTGAATGCAAACAATTATAATTGAGGAATACAGAGAAATTGTCCAAGCAGCCAGGGATCGGATCAGGAAAGCCAAGGCCCCCAATAGAATTAAACCTGGCCAGGAACATCAAGGGTAACAGGAAAAGCTTCTATAGGTACATCACTGACAAAAGGACTACTAGGGATGTGGGCCCTCTCCAGAAGGGAATGGGAGACCTGGCTACCCAGGATATGGAGAAGCTGAGGTACTCAACGACTTTTTTGCTTCAATCTTCACTGGTAAGTGCTCCAGCCACACTGCCCAAGTCAAAGAGTGCAAAGGCAGGGGCTAGCAGAATGAAGAACCACCCACTGTAGGAAAGGATCAGATTTGAGACCATCTAAGGAACCTGAAGGTGCAAGTCCATGGGACCAGATGAGATGCATCTGCAGGTCCTGAGGGATTTTTTTGCTAAGCCACTCTCCATCATCTTTGAGAAGCTGTGGCAGTCTGGCAGTTCCAACCAACTGGAAAAGGGAAAGCACAGCCCTGTCGGGGACAGCCTGACTGAGGAAGATGA